GCGAATTAAGTCTTCTATGCAGGACATGTTTTAGTCTTTCCAGGATGATGTGACTGCATATTTTGCTGTCTGTGGAGAGGAGCGAGACTCCAGGTGAGTTGTCGTCGCATAGGCTTTGACAGTTTGACAAGGTAGTGATGCGAGCATGTCCGTTGAAGTCACTGTATCCGTTTTCAGTACTTCTGTGAGGCGGTGGGTTGGAGGGGATTTGATGTGGTCATTCTGCTTTAGCGACTGGCTTTTTAAGAAACTTCATGGCCTTCAAGGCTTCTGTTTCTGCTAGAGTGTTGATGTTCGCCGGTAGTTTTCTGCGTCTTCTGGTGGTGTTTGTGGGAGAGTAGGTGGTGGTCAATTCAAGAGTCGTTTGAAGTGATCGATGGAGCGTTCGCTCTGTTCCACCTCATTCGTAATTGGCTTTCCATGACTACCTTTCACTGGCTTCATCTGAGTTGATCTCTTGCTGGTCAGCGATCGAAACGATGGTGCTTAGGAAAGCGAGAGAGATGACTTCCTTCAGATTTCTCCCATTGGTGGTGATTGTTGTTTTCTGTGGGTAGTCATGTGTCCTCATCACATCTGTCGTCTCTACGTTCACCTGAAGTGCCGTCTTCACTGTCTCTTATACCAGTTTGCTGGCTTTCTCTTGTACATCCTCGAGTCTGTGCGACACGAGACGTGAGTCATGCACGAAATCCAGATCTCCTAGAGTGGTTTTGTCAGTGCAGCGTTTTCCCATCTTCTCAGTCCTCACGGCCAGCCGAATGATTCAGTCCAGCACAATCGGCAGGATCATAGGTCATAATTGACAGTCATGTATTACTCTCATCTTCACTGCAAACGCTTCAGTGAGCTTTCCCTTGTCAACTACGCGGAATGTGTCATCATCATATCGGTGTTGAATGAGCTTGATAAGTGTTTTCGGCACTGCAGACTGTAGGCTTGAAACAGTTTCCGAGTTACTTCACGGTCTGAGCTGTCGAAGGCCTTTTCAAAGTCGACGATGTTGACGTGCAGAGTTGACTGGCATTCTAAGCTCTGTTGATGTTTACTGTTGCAATTGGCTTCGTGCATGACTTGTTTTTTCTGAATCCAACCTGTTGCGAATTAAGTCTTCTATGCAGGACATGTTTTAGTCTTTCCAGGATGATGTGACTGCATATTTTGCTGTCTGTGGAGAGGAGCGAGACTCCAGGTGAGTTGTCGTCGCATAGGCTTTGACAGTTTGACAAGGTAGTGATGCGAGCATGTCCGTTGAAGTCACTGTATCCGTTTTCAGTACTTCTGTGAGGCGGTGGGTTGGAGGGGATTTGATGTGGTCATTCTGCTTTAGCGACTGGCTTTTTAAGAAACTTCATGGCCTTCAAGGCTTCTGTTTCTGCTAGAGTGTTGATGTTCGCCGGTAGTTTTCTGCGTCTTCTGGTGGTGTTTGTGGGAGAGTAGGTGGTGGTCAATTCAAGAGTCGTTTGAAGTGATCGATGGAGCGTTCGCTCTGTTCCACCTCATTCGTAATTGGCTTTCCATGACTACCTTTCACTGGCTTCATCTGAGTTGATCTCTTGCTGGTCAGCGATCGAAACGATGGTGCTTAGGAAAGCGAGAGAGATGACTTCCTTCAGATTTCTCCCATTGGTGGTGATTGTTGTTTTCTGTGGGTAGTCATGTGTCCTCATCACATCTGTCGTCTCTACGTTCACCTGAAGTGCCGTCTTCACTGTCTCTTATACCAGTTTGCTGGCTTTCTCTTGTACATCCTCGAGTCTGTGCGACACGAGACGTGAGTCATGCACGAAATCCAGATCTCCTAGAGTGGTTTTGTCAGTGCAGCGTTTTCCCATCTTCTCAGTCCTCACGGCCAGCCGAATGATTCAGTCCAGCACAATCGGCAGGATCATAGGTCATAATTGACAGTCATGTATTACTCTCATCTTCACTGCAAACGCTTCAGTGTTCTTTCCGTTGTTAACTGCTCTGAATGTTGGATGGTCATATCGGTTCTCAATCTTGTTTTGATGTTTTTTTTGGTGGGTTTTTTCTGCTTTATTTTTCGTTATATGCGGTTTAATTTTTATATTCTTTTTTTCCTTTTTATATTTTTTTTGGAATTCCCGCTTATTTTTCTTCGCTGTCTATTCTTTTTGGATGTGTCTGTTGAGGAATCCCTTATTGCTTGCATTTTTATGTGAACTCGAGTGCATTTCTCATTCTATGTTGTGTCAATGGTGTGATCCATTTTACCACTCTTTATGAGTTTTTTATAATTTTTAATCCCGTGCTAGTAAATATAAATCCTTTTTTTCGTATTCACATTTCTGTAATATTTAGTAAATTATATTTGGAGAGTACAATGAAATTTTATATTTTAATCTGGCTGGACTCTCGTATTTGTGTCAAAAGGGGTATACTCTCTATCTGATCAGCGTCAAATGAGAGAAACCAGTATCCGATGTATTGATCCCCTCGATTTGATAAGCACTCTGTACTGATTGATGTGGTCGGCATTTAACTACTCATCTAAATAATCAGTAGTATGTAATTTTGCTGATAAGTACTTTGGTTTCCATCATTTTAGAACTAAATGTGGAAAGGTCATATGCGTTCGAATCAACCTGTTTTCACACATTACTTGTGCAGTAAAGAGGCAGGTTTAATCAGCGTTCATATGGAAACTGGGAAATATATGTAAATTGCATTAGCGTCTGATGCCTAAAATAATTAAACTTCGAAAAATTTAATAACGGCCAACTTTCAAAATGATCCTGCCATTATCTGAAATTTTCTGAAAGATTCTCAAAGTGAGCAAAAGTGAAAGTTTGGAAATATAAATGAATGGACTTATATGGAACACGATGCAGAATCTTAGTGACTGTATGTCACAAAGAATTTAATTACAAGTATTTGCAATTTATTCAGTCTAAAATAGTCTGGAAAGTTAATAATAAGAATTGAAGTTATTACAGTAATGTGGCAATGCTAGATGCCAAGCTATGCTTTTGAAGTGAAGACTGTGGTATGATAAGGTTGCATACTGTCACCGATGATCTTCTTAATTGTAATGAGACTTATCATTCGGCTGGCTGTGGGAAGCGAGTAGATTTGAATACGTTTGGAAGATAACAAGACTCTAGAAGACCTGAATTGTGCATATGATTTATGTCTAATGTTACATAAACTCGAAGTCCTGCAGGCGAAAACCAACAAGTTGGGATCAGAAGCAGAGAAAGTAGGACTTCAAGTGAACATATGGAAGAAAATTTGGGAATGGTCACTTCGCCTATATATATATATATATATATATATATATATATATATAGTGATCCCATATTCCCCCATTCTATTCTTAAGTGCATAGGTAGCTTGCCAGTTAGTACACATCCGTAGAAACTCAAAAACATTGACGTCAGCCTACTGAATAGTTGATTCGACCCACTTACCACAACTATCATTTAAAGCTACTAACTAATGGAACTAACGAATAAGGTGCTGTAAAGTTTGAGCAAGTTTATTTGCACTGATAAGTGTTATAAACTTTCCTTCCCTATTTTCAGTCACTAGTTTAATAATTTACTTAATGCATTAGCAATTTGTGATACCTGCCGATTCGTGATAACTCCTTCCCTCTAGTTGCATTGATCTGTGAAACAAATTGCTATTGAAGTCACTTTTCTGAAAACCTTTAAGTTAATTGCATGTTTGCATTGATTTATATTTGGTTGTGTAGGTTTCTGTTGTGTAATAAGTAAGTAGTCAATACCACTGGTATGGGAAAACTATATCCAGGATTTGTGATATAGGCACTCTAGAGTAACAAACTTCTTCATGGAAACTTATCTGTCCTTCAGGAAAACATGGTTTAACTAGTAGACCATTATAATTACAATAGATATTCGTCTTTTTCCCTCCGTTGGTGAATGAATATCATATGACTTTAACGATTACTAACAGAAAGTAGTGTACAAAAATTATGAACGGACATATTCACTTGTTTATCGACTAAGTATTATTTCTTCAAGAGACAGTTTGAAGGGAGTTACGCGAACTCCACTAATCCCCCTGTTTTGCCATTACTAATTAATAGTCAGTATTTGGTGCGAATCAATTCAGTTTAAGCCTACAGATTCTGGGTCCTATCTTAAAGATTTCATAATTCAAGAGTGTATTCAGTGGTTTATATTTCCGGTTGATAGTGTAGATTTACTTTATACACCTTGATGTTCATTGGTTATTCCATTTATCTTAAAGTCACTAAGAGAGACATGCTTAATTGCCAGCCCCCCCTTAAAGCCAATTCTGAAGTTATTTTCTAACTAAATCTAATACTAGTAAAAAGGCATGATGATAATAATAATGCGTATAATGGACACATTATTAGTTTAAGTATTGTCAGTTAACACTAACGAAAAATATTCGCTTCTAATATATCAGCTTGTTACATACCATCAGTTCACATGAATAAAAGTACTCTGTAGCTTTGTGAAACTTATTTATGGCCACAAATTGGACACATTCTACTAGTATGAAAAGTACATTTGTATTTGTACATTGCTGAGGACAAAACTAGTTTTAAGACTCCAAGTCTCCATAAATCTGAAAAACAGTAATTTTTCAAAATGTGTCTAAAGCACACACGAAATGCATTCTTCATTGCTTATTGTACTAAGGTCTAGCACTTTAAAAGTAAAATATATATACGCTATACAAAATGAAATCACTAACTGCTGTTTTTCTAAGAATCAGTTAACAGTTTTATCCTAAGTTCAAGGTAGCTTTATAAAATAATCACGTATCACATTCAGTATAAGCCAATGATAGAAAGTAATTAGAAAAACGACTGATTTTTACAATTGTGCTGAAATTACTATTGAACTTTTTTGTACTGCTGGATATCATCACCACTATCTAGTATGCTTAAATAAGAAAGTGGAAGTGAATCAAGTGATATTTTCCATCATGTGATAACTATTGTAATAGTGATTTAGTTTAAGGTTATTGAACTGCATTTTGATTGGTTGAAATATAGCGGTTAAAAATCTTTCATACATATATTATACTAATAAACTGGGTCCAGTATTCAGAGTTATCTTACCCGGAAGGATAAATAGTACATTTGCACATAAACACTGCAACAGCAATGTTATGGAATAAATTTGTTCTCAATCAATACAACCGATTATGTTATAATCTCCTTCAGAGTTATTATCGTCAGCCTGATTTATTTAGGATTAAACCGGCAATAACATCGTACAATGTAAGAGTACGCTGCATGTGTAGTGGATCGAATAGCATTCAGAATGGTATAAATACACAACCTGAAGGTCCTGATGCAGATTTTATTCACAGACACATAGGATCTTCTAAGGAGGATATTAATCACATGCTCAAAGTTTGCGGCTTTAATGTAAGTGCTTGCATGGCGTGCATGAGCTACACTTTATTGAATTTCTTATAGTCTGTCGGCAGTCATAATAACTGGATGACAGGTTTTTTGTAGTTAGTTTTTTTTTAACTTGACAATATAAGTGTGCTCTCTGTCTAATTACCTGCATAACTTTACTTCTATGTGTCACATATATCCAAAAGTTTAATAAAAACCAGTCTCTGTTGTGTAGAAATAATGGTAGATTTGTATTGAAGGCGATTCTACGTCTGATGTTGAGACGTAGATGTGCATTGCACAATTAACTGATGCAACGAAACAAAAAGTGTTTTCAATCATACAAAAATAAGTGTCTTCCCCATTCACTTCACCACCTTATTAAGGGGCGATTCTTACAATGTGCTTAACCAAATGTTTATTCCACTAACAAGTTTGGCAGTTATTTTTATGAGAATTATCTCATTTCCGATTTACTGATTATGATGTTAGAAATATTTTTATGGGAAATTCTGGTGTTTCATGAATTCCTTGATATTTCTCTCAGGTAAAATACTAGTTCTAGACTTTTGGTGTGGTTTTGTTCTCTGAGCTGGATGGTTAGTTTGCGAAGCTTTCATCACCTTACTGGGTGACATCTTCAGCGCATACTTCAATTTGAAGTGAGCTTTTAGATTTCTCCACGAGTTTATTAATCATCCCTCCTGGTGACCTTGGACGTGATTGGTTGTTTATGTGTGTTTTCACACCTTCTAGGTTACTTGTATTGGAACTGATTGTTTCTTTGACTTGAACTTTGACCCTTTTTGTGTGAAGTTTCTTTCTTATTGGTTGATAAATTTTGTCTATCTCGATGTGTCTATTGATTGATGATTCACTGGAATGCCAAGCTTCTAAAAATTCTCTAGCATTCTTGTTATTTCCTTTGTCTAATATTTGAACGTTGTCCCAGTCGAATTGATGTCCGTGGTTGTCTGTGTGTAGTGAAATGAGGGAGTGGATATCATGTCTTTTGACGGCTAGCTTATGTTCGTGGATACGAAGACGAAGGGGACGTCCACTTTGGCCAATGTAGTGTTTTTCGCAGTTGTTACAGTTTATTTTGTAGATGATGTTGGTTTTGTCTTCTTTCGCTGTTGAGTCTTTTGGTTGACATAGAATTGAGTGCAGCGACTTTGTTGGTTTGTGTACGACGTCAATTCCTAAAGGTTTGAAGAGTCTTGTAGTGATTTCTGAGATATCCTTTATATATGGTAAGGCGATTTTCTTTGTGTTTTCCTTGGTGGCTTTTGCTTTGGTAGGTTGGCTTGGGGGTATATGTCTCTTGATGAAATTCCGTGGATATCCATTCTTTTGGAAGACGTCCATGAGATACTTTTCTTCAATTTTTCTTAAGGTGGGAGTGCTGCAGTGAGTCCTTGCTCTCTTGAATAGTGTTTGTATGCAGTTCCTTTTGTGTGCTATTGGGTTGTTGCTGTTGTAATTCAGTATTTGGTCTGTGTGAGTTGATTTCCTATAAACTTGAGTTTCTAATTCTCCTGTAGTTGTTCGCCTGACTAAGACGTCCAAAAATGGTATTTTGTTCTCGGATTCCTCTTCTCTTGTGAATTTGATGTCGTTGAAGACGTTGTTTATTAAGTTGTGAGTTTTATCTAATTCGTTTCTTTTGATTATTACAAATGTGTCGTCGACGTAGCGTATCCAAATCTTGGGTTTGATCTTTGGTAGAATTATGTTTTCGAGTCTTTGCATCACTGCTTCTGCAATCAAACCTGATATTGGCGATCCCATGGGTGTTCCTTTGACTTGTTCATATATTTGGCCGTTGAATTGGAAGTATGTTGTTAGGCATAGATTTATGCATTCCATCCAGCTTGTGTGTTGCATTTTTGATTGTTGTGGAAGTTGTTCGTCGTTGCTAAGTAATTGCTCCATGGTTTCTTTTGCTAGTTTTTGTCCGATAGAGGTATATAATGCTGTCACGTCGAAGGATACCATTATTTCTTGTTCATCTATTTGGATGTCTCTGATTTTCTCTAGGAATTGGATAGCAGAGTTGATGGAGTGATCACAAGATTCCGTTAGGTGTTTTAGTTTTCTGTATAATTCCTTGGACAAATTATATGTTGGAGTTCCTGGGAGTGATACAATTGGTCGTAACGGGATATTTGCCTTGTGTATTTTGGGTCTGCCGTAGAATCGAGGTAGGACTGGTCCATTGGATTTCATTCGCCATTGGTCTTGTTTTGTGATCTGTCCAGTTTTGCTGAGCTTGTTTAAGGTCCTTTGGATGCGGTTGTCCAATGTTTGTATGGGATTTGTTGGGAGTTGTTGATATACATCTTCATCTTTGAGTAGTTCTTCAGCTTTCTTGGTGTATTCTTCTCTGTCCATGACTACTGTTGTTCTTCCTTTGTCGGCTGGTAAAATGACGATGTCCTTCCTATTTTTCAGCTTTTTGAGGGCCTTTAGTTCTTGAGAGTTGAGTTGTGTGTGTTGTCTTTTCTGTTTGACCATTGGTACAATTGTTTGGCGTATCTCTTCCTGTGTTTCCTCGTTCAAGTTTGATGATTTGAGTAATGATTCAAGGGCAGCGAAGAAATCAGTTTTTGAAGCATCTCCGGTGTTGTAGTTTAATCCTTTTTGTAGTAGTTGTTGTTCCATTTTTGATAGTGGTTGTTTTGATAGGTTGACTACGCAGTCTATGGGCGTATTGTCTGGTTGTTGTTTTCTAATCTTGGCTAGCTTGGTTTTGAGGACTCTTCGTCTTTGTTCTCTGTGTTTTCCACTTGACAGTGTAATTGCGGTGATCAGCGTTGACAGGTGTTCTTGGTTGAGGGTTTTCTCTAATTTTGCTTTTTGGACATCTATTATTTGTTGATATTTGTTGATCCGATAATGTGCGTCCGTAATCATTAATTTGACCATTCGTCTTCCACATTGTTCGGCCAATTTCCATCCCATTCCATTAATAAACTCGTGGAGAAATCTAAAAGCTCACTTCAAATTGAAGTATGCGCTGAAGATGTCACCCAGTAGGGTGATGAAAGCTTCGCGAACTAACCATCCAGCTCAGAGAACAAAACCACATCAAAACCATCCACCTGAGCTACAAATCTCCTCTATCATATCTACTAGTTCTAGACGTCCATCAGTGAATTAATTATCCTCACTTCTCTGATAATTATTTATTCATTAGGTGTTGATAGAAACTGATAACAGGCTTACTGAATGAATCACTTTAAGAGTTTCTGGTTCCTTCTGTCTTCAGACGATCAGTGTTGAATTAGTTTTATCGCATATTCGTAAAGAAAATCTCTAAGGAGATTCCCCATATCGGTTTCTTACTTGATAAGATTATGATTGCCGTATTATTTTGTATATTTTCTGACCTGAGTAGCAATCAATGCATTGGATCACTTAGTGTCTTCCCAAGTGTCCATTTATTTATTTCGTTGCTTTACTGTTCAAATTATAAAAATCCTCATTTGCATGATGCAGTAAGAAGTTTAGCAACATATAAGTGAACTTCTCGTCCTACTGTGACCACTGAACTCTCTGACCTGGCCATTGAGAGTGGAAGACATGAAAAGATTAGCTGTCTTTGATCATAGGTGCCTGCGTTCTATCTCCCATGTGAAGTAGTGGTATAATAAGGTGAGCAATATTGAGGTTAGGCCTCGGTCTAGTGGTAGGTTAGGAGGGGTGATCAATGGACGAGGCTGTGAAATTACATCAACTGAGATGGTTAGGACATGTGTTACGTATGCCTAGTCGTCGCCTTCCTCGACGGACGGTCAATGTTAGCTGATACAGGGGCAGGCTGGAAAAGAACTAGCGGCGGTCAAACCAAAACATGACTCCATCAGTCAATGAAATCTACAACAGTTAGTTTAATCCAGTCACATAGGAAGGTGTAGACTTCCTGGTTGGGGTTCTTGGGACGGTAAAATCCAATGGTTGGAAACAATTGGTGATATGGTTCAAAATCATTCTCAATGGCGCTGATGCATACACTCCTTGCGACTTATAATTTCCAATGAAAATATATTGTTCTTTATTATTACTATTCCTTCGTCTCATATCTCTGTTTACTGTCTCTATTTTGCATTTCTTCTACTTTCTTCTGTTGGTTTGTGTACTACATGGAGTGTGGCGACTTGAAAAGCCGCACATTGGTGCAAAGTTCTTTGTCGAAGATAGAAAGAAAGAGAGACTCTGATTTATAAACTTGTGATTAATACGCAATTACTAAATTTTAATCCCTTCTATACTGTTATCTATTTATGAATGTAGAAAAGGCGAATTAAGTCATTGATCGGTGCTATTTGTCCTAGACATTAACTTAACCTTCTTCAACCTGTGGCTGTCACGGATTACATAGCACTATACGATAAATAGACATTCGTAAAAGTAGCGCACATTACACTAATACTGCTACCCTTACTGTAACAGTGACAACTATTCATACTCTTTATGGTTGATAGCTGAAACAGTTCATGATTCATTCGACAACCAGTAACAGACTTTATTATTAGCTAATAAGGTACAGATAAGTGTCTAAACGTAGTTGACCTTTTATTGAAGTCCATTATTGTCATAACTCTAATATTTGTAAACGGCGCATTAATATGTAGAAGAGAAACGATATGTGTCATTAGATTCTAGCAACCTAACGCCAATCACAGTGCACTTTGATAACAAGTATTCCAGCAGGATAGTCACACTGCATGCGTATAGGTGACCAGTGATAGTGACAGCATCTCTAAAATAAAGTTTCTTAATGCATTACTGAGTGACTCAAGTTTGCGTTATTAGTCCCCTTAAGTGTGCAGACAAGCCTTGATATAGAATGCCAAAAATGATTAAATAAAAGTATGGGGCTCTTCATATATCACTTACTGTCACCTGCCATCACAATTGCAAAGATGAAAAAACTTCCGATTTAAACTTTTCTGAAAGAACTAGAAAATTTCTTGTGCTTACATTTAGTTGAGTTAATTAGAGGTTGCATGGAGGATTTA